GCTAGTAACTCAGAGGCTGATACGCTGACAAACATACTGTTCATGGCTAACGATCCGGCAGGGAATGGATGTCAGGTCAGAGCTTATGAAGGGTGATGATCAGGACCAGGTGTGCCGATAGCTGATGAGATGCAGGTGCGGGTAATCGGGAGATCTCCCGCCTAGCAACGTCGCCCGGCAACCAGGCAGGGAGCGTTCAAGAACCATCAGGAAACAGGAGATTCAGAGCAGAAAAACGGCAACACCGGCAGGAACCGACTCAGGACGCAGGGTTCATGACATCTTCTTTGTGATCCGAACACCTCAAACTCTGATTTGTCTGTCCATAACACTTTTTTCCAATCTTCCTCTGTCCAGTGTCTGAGTTATTTTGCCAATCTTTATCTTTTATTTTTATTGGCCAGTCTGAGATATGGCTTTTTCTTTGCAACTTTGCCTAGAAGGTCAGCATCCCGGAGTCGCCTCTTCACTGTTGACGTTGAGACTGGTGTTTTGTGGGTACTATTTAATGAAGCTGCCAGTTGAGGCCCTGTGAGGCATCTGTTTCTCAAACTAGACACTAATGTATTTGTCCTCTTGCTCAGTTGAGCACCAGGGCCTCCCACTCCTCTTTCTATTCTGGTTAGAGCCAGTTTGCGCTGTTCTGTGAATGGAGTAGTACACAGCGTTGTACGAGATCTTCAGTTTCTTGGCAATTTCTCGCATGGAATAGCCTTCATTTCTCAGAACAAGAATAGACTGACGAGTTTCAGAAGAAAGTTATTTGTTTCTGGCCATTTTGAGCCTGTAATCAAACCCACAATTGCTGATGCTCCATATACTCAACTAGTCTCAAGAAGGCCAGTTTTATTTCTTCTTTAATCAGCACAACAGTTTTCAGCTGTGCTAACATAACCGCAAAATGTTTTTCTAATGATCAATTAGCCTTTTAAAATGATAAACTTGGATTAGCAAACACAATGTGCCATTGGAACACAGGACTGATGGTTGCTGTTAATGGGCCTCTGTCTGCCTATGTAGATATTCCATTAAAAATCAGCCGTTTCCTGCCACAATAGCCATTTACAACATTAACAATGTCTACACTGTATTTCTGATGAATTTTATGTTATTTTAATGGTCAAAAAAATTGCTTTTCTTTCGAAAACAAGGTAATTTCTAAGTAAGACCCCAAACTTTTGAATGGTAGTGTAGATGACGAAAGTTGCAGCTGTCTGGTATCAACGTGAGATCAGCTAAATCTCTGGTTTATTCTTGTGGGTTTTAGATTGCAATCAAGCTTATTTTAGTACGCAGGTGCATGTAATCTCCCGTTAGTATCGTTTTAATAAAATCAGCACTAACATAGTGCTACGTGCGAAGATACACCACTGATGTTGACAGACATTAAACTAGTCCTTAATCAATGCATTGGATCACCAAATTGTGCTGTATAACCTGTTCATCTGGAAATCATTGTTATTGTGTTGTTATTGCTTTTCCGTAGTGTTTGTAAATATTTTAATGTTTATTAGTCAAATTGTTGACAAAACAACCCTGCTTCTGTATGAACTCAATCACTGAATGGAATTTACGTCACAGATTTTGCCAAATGAATCAGAGCCAGCTGGACTGACAAACAACTACACTCTTAGAAAAAAAGGTGCCATGCAAAAGTATTCATCCTCCTTGGCGTTTTTCCTATTTTGTTGCATTACAACCTGTAATTTAAATGGATTTTTATTTGGATTTCATGTAATGGACATACACAAAATAGTCCAAATTGGTGAAGTGAAATGAAAAAAATAACTTGTTTCAGAAAATTCTAAAAAATTAATAACAGAAAAGTGGTGCGTGCATATGTATTCACCCCCTTTGCTATGAAGCCCCTAAATAAGATCTGGTGCAATCAATTACCTTCAGAAGTCACATAATTAGTTAAATAAAGTCCACCTGTGTGCAATCTAAGTGTCACTTGATCTGTCACATGATCTCAGTATATATACACTGCTCAAAAAAATTAATGGAACACTAAAATAACACATCCTAGATCTGAATGAATGAAATAATCTTATTAAATACTTTTTTCTTTACATAGTTGAATGTGCTGACAACAAAATCACACAAAAATTATCAATGGAAATCAAATTTATCAAACCATGGAGGTCTGGATTTGGAGTCACCCTCAAAATCAAAGTGGAAAACCACACTACAGGCTGATCCAACTTTGATGTAATGTCCTTAAAACAAGTCAAAATGAGGCTCAGTAGTGTGTGTGGCCTCCACGTGCCTGTATGACCTCCCTACAACGCCTGGCCATGCTCCTGATGAGGTGGCGGATGGTCTCCTGAGGGATCTCCTCCCAGACCTGGACTAAAGCATCCTCCAACTCCTGGACAGTCTGTGGTGCAACGTGGCGTTGGTGGATGGAGCGAGACATGATGTCCCAGATGTGCTCAATTGGATTCAGGTCTGGGGAACGGGCGGGCCAGTCCATAGCATCAATGCCTTCCTATTGCAGGAACTGCTGACACACCCCAGCCACATGAGGTCTAGCATTGTCTTGCATTAGGAGGAACCCAGGGCCAACCGCACCAGCATATGGTCTCACAAGGGGTCTGAGGATCTCATCTCGGTACCTAATGGCAGTCAGGCTACCTCTGGCGAGCACATGGAGGGCTGTGCGGACCCCCAAAGAAATGCCACCCCACACCATGACTGACCCACCGCCAAACCGGTCATGCTGGAGGATGTTGCAGGCAGCAGAACGTTCTCCACGGCGTCTCCAGACTCTGTCACGTCTGTCACTGTCACACCCTGGCTCGGGGACTCATTATGTTGAGCCAGGGTGTGTTCATTCTATGTTTTCTGTTTCTTCGGTGGGTGTTCTAGGTTGTCGATTTTCTATGTTTGCCGGTGTGACTCCCAATCAGAGGCAACGAGTGTCAGCTGTCGGCTGGTTGTCTCTGATTGGGAGCCATATTTAATCTGTCGGTTTTTCCTTTGGTTTTGTGGGTTCTTGTTTCGAGTTAGTTTAGTTTCACCGTGTACTGTCATGTTATCGTCTTTGTTTGTTTTGATCGTGTTTCACTTATTAAATAATATGTTTGCTTGCAACGCTGCGCCTTGGTCTACTCAATCCTACGACGATCGTGACAGTCACATGTGCTCAGTGTGAACCTGCTTTCATCTGTGAAGAGCACAGTGCGCCAGTGCCGAATTTGCCAATCTTGGTGTTCTCTGGCAAATGCCAAACGTCCTGCACGGTGTTGGGCTGTAAGCACAACCCCCACCTGTGGACGTCGGGCCCTCATACCACCCTCATGGAGTCTGTTTCTGACCGTTTGAGCAGACACATGCACATTTGTGGCCTGCTGGAGGTCATTTTGCAGGGCTCTGGCAGTGCTCCTCCTGCTCCTCCTTGCACAAAGGCGGAGGTAGCAGTCCTGCTGCTGGGTTGTTGCCCTCCTACGGCCTCCTCCACGTCTCCTGATGTACTGGCCTGTCTCCTGGTAGCGCCTCCATGCTCTGGACACTACGCTGACAGATACAGCAAACCTTCTTGCCACAGCTCGCATTGATGTGCCATCCTGGATGACCTGCACTACCTGAGCCACTTGTGTGGGTTTTAGACTCCGTCTCATGCTACCACTAGAGTGAAAGCACCGCCAGCATTCAAAAGTGACCAAAACATCAGCCAGGAAGCATAGGAACTGAGAAGTGGTGTGTGGTCACCACCTGCAAAACCAGTCCTTTATTGGGGGTGTCTTGCTAATTGCCTATAATTTCCACCTGTTGTCTATTCCATTTGCACAATGAAGGTGGCTCTACAAAGTATTGACTTTGGGGGGGGGGTGAATAGTTATGCATGCTTAAGTTCTGTTTTCTTGTCTTATTCCTTGTTTGTTTCACAATAAAACATATTTTGCATCTTCAAAGTAGTAGGCATGTTGTGTAAATCAAATGATACAAACCCCCCAAAAAATCAATTTTAAATCCAGGTTCTAAGGCAACAAAATAGGAAAAATGCCAAGGGGGGTGAATACTTTCGCAAGCCACTGTAGAACCTAAAAGGGTTCTTTTTTTAGGAACTGACTTACTGCCAGCTCTGCTCACCATGGTCAACAATTACTCTGGCACAGACAATGTCTTTATGTCTTGCATAACTTGTTACTGTGCAAATTGGACTGCTCCTGGGCTGTAGCACCCAAAGATGTTTTCATATTTAAAAAAGCTTTACTTTCTCCAGGACACTTCAACAGGTGACGATCCCAGAAAAAAAGGAGCACTGTGTCTGCATAGATATTTGTTTATTCACGGAACAAACAAACAGGCAGAGTGCACCTTTTTCTAAAATTTTCTGGGACGGTCACCTGTTGAAATGTACTGGGATATGGAATGTCGAGCACCTGATTCTCCTTTTTTTTCAAGCTGGGCTGAAGCAATTTTGGGTACATTTTCATTCCTATCCCACTGGGCAAAAACTTGTTGAATCAACGTTGTTTCCACATCATAGTCTTTTTTTAATCAAACTTTTAACCTAAATCCAATGACGTATTTTTTTGTTTGTTTGTTTCACGTTGAATTCACATTAGTTGACAACTTAATCAAATGTCCATCAAAACTAGATGTTGAACTGACGTCTGTACCCAATGGGAGGTTTTTGTTAGTTTATTTTTCAGAAAATACAAATACATTTTGGCCACAGAGCCTTTTGTCAGCATTCAGTTTTGTTTTAATTCCCCTCCATTGTCTGTGATCACAGGCCCACAGTCTCTGTCTCATGTACTGGCCTCCATGAGACAGACTTCCTGAAGGAGAAGCGAGTCAGGTGAATCTCCTCTCCCTGCGCTGGAGAAAACAATACAGAGACAGGGTGAACTTAGCCAGCACCAGAGTGCAGCCTATCTCCACCACCAGCATGGCTGTGTAGGATATCATCCGGGCCTGCACTGCGAGGCCTTGCGGTTGTAGTTGGGGTGGTGGCTTCATTAATAGTGGCCATTGTGGTTGGAAGACTTTTACTCGTTGGCATAGTGGTCGTAGTTGGCAGAGTAGTTGTAGTTGGCCAAGTAGTTGTAGGCTGTATCGTTGTTGGTGTGGTAGTGGACAGTGTGGTTGTTTGAGTAGTGGTGAGAACTGTAGTTGGCTGAGTGGTTGGCGATGTTGTTGTGAATAATAGTGGGCATGGTGGATGTCAGTGGTGTGGTTGTCTGGGTTGTGGTGAGTGCTGTGGTGGTGGTGGTGGTTATTGTGGTTGTCGTGGGAATGGTTGTAGTGCTGACAGTGGTGGTAGGTAAAGGGACAGTGGTTGGAGGTGAGGTGGGAAATATGAGCTGGTTCTCAGTGAGATACATTGTTTCTTTAAATCCTCCGATTGGTCACTGTAATGGGTAATATTTAAGACTAATAAATGGTCATATTCCGTTAGGAGTAATTAACACAATGCTTAGCATATTTATATGTTTCCCTTTCTGTAATACACATGTTCTATTTGTGACATCCATTTGTGTCACGGGTTGATGGTCACTAGACTCGATGCCGTATGCTATGTATTAAACTCATATCTGTTGATGGTGATTGACGTCAGACAAGGTACACTGAGCCGAGGGCACACTGATAATGTATCTGTAACACAGTGTGATTCTGTAGCCGCTGATATTGTGACGTCCTCCCAACCTCTCGGGCTGCTGTTTACATAACATTTGGTACCGTCTGATTAATATATACAGTATGTGCCTTCTCAGAGGAGGCCAGTTAGACATTTTCTCTGCTTCTGTGTGGGAGGTGTCTCCCTGTTGCAACTTGTATTAAAATGAATTGATTTATGATTGACTATGCTGTATCGGTGACTGCTCTTCTCTTTTCTTCACCTGAATCCCCTTTACAATCACAGATCTCAGGAGATGTAGACTTGATCTTTCCAGGGTTTGCCTTCATCCAATTGAAGAGTGGGACCATCCTACAGTCACAATGCCAAGGGTTATGGTTTAAATAGACTTTGCTGAGTATTGTTAAGGGGTCAAATACAGTGCCTCCAGAAAGTATACATACCCTTTGACTTATTCCACATTTTGTTGTGTTACAGCCTGAATTCAAAATGGGTTAAATATGTTTTTTTCTCACTCATCTACACACAATATCCCATAATGACGAAGTGAACACATGTTTTTTTTATCAATTTTTGCAAATGTATTACAAATGAAATACAGAAATATTTAATTCACATAAGTATTCACACCCTTGAGACAATACATGTTAGAATCACCTTTGGCCGCGATTACAGCCGTGAGTCTTTCTGTGTGTCTAAGAGCTTTGCACACCTGGATTGTACAATATTTGCACATTTAAATGTTTCCCCTTAAACCACTCGAGTGTTGCTTTAGCAGTATGCTTAGAGTCATTGTCCTGCTGGAAGGTGAACCTCCGTCCCAGTCTCAAATCTCTGGAAGACTGAAACAGGTTTCCCTCAAGAATTTCCCTGTATTTAGCGCCATCCATCATTCCTTCAATTCTGATTTTTTTATAACCCAACCCTGATCTGTACTTCTCCACAACTTTGTACCTGACCTGTTTGGAGAGCTCTTTGGTCTTCATGGTGCCGCTTGCTTGGTGGTGTCCCTTGCTTAGTGGTGTTGCAGACTCTGGTGCCTTTCAGAACAGGTGTATATATATACTGAGATCATGTGACAGATCATGTGACAAATAGATTGCACACAGGTGGACTTTATTTAACTAATTATGTGACTTCTGAAGGTAATTGGTTGCACCAGATCTTATTTAGGGGCTTCATAGCAAAGGTGGTGAATACATATGCACACACTACTTTTCCGTTATATATTTTGTATACTTTTTTGAAACAAGTTATTTATTTATTTTTTACTTCACCAATTTGGACTATTTTGTGTGTGTCCATTACATGAAATCCAAATAAAAATACATTTAAATTACAGGTTGTAATGCAACAAAATAGGAAAAACGGCAAGGGGGACGAATACTTTTGCAAGGCACTGTACAATGTTGTTGATCCTTTCTCCTATCACAGCCATTAAACTCTTTAACTGTTTTAAAGTCACTATTGGCCTCATGTTGAAATCCTTGAGCGGTTTCCTTCCTCTCCCGGAACTGAGTTAGGAAGGACGCCTGTACAGTACAGTTGAATTCGGAAGTTTACATACACCTTAGCCAAATACATTCAAACTCAGTTTTTCACAATTCCTGACATTTAATCCTAGTAAAAATTTCCTGTTTTAGGTCAGTTAGGATCACCACTTTATTTTAAGAATGTGAAATGTCAGAATAATAGTAGAGAGAATTATTTATTTCAGCTTTTATTTTTTTCATCACATTCCCAGTGGGTCAGAAGTTTACATACACTCAATTAGTATTTGGTAGCATTGCCTTTAAATTGTTTAACTTGGGTCAAACGGTTCGGGTAGCCTTCCACAAGCTTCCCACAATAAGTTGGGTGAATTTTGGCCCATTCCTCCTGACAGAGCTGGTGTAACTGAGTCAGGTTTGTAGGCCTCCTTGCTCGCACACGCTTTTTCAGTTCTGCCCACACACATTGTCTATAGGATTGAGGTCAGGGCTTTGTGATGGCCACTGCAATACCTTGACTTTGTTGTCCTTAAGCCATTTTGCCACAACTTTGGAAGTATGCTTGGGGTCATCGTCCATTTGGAAGACCCATTTGCGACCAAGCTTTAACTTCCTGACTGATGTCTTGAGATGTTGCTTCAATATATCCACATAACTCTCCTTCCTCATGATGCCATCTATTTTGTGAAGTGCACCAGTCCCTCCTGCAGCAAAGCACCCCCACAGCATGATGCTGCCACCCGCGTGCTTCACGGTTGGGATGGTGTTCTTCGGCTTGCAAGCTCTCCCCTTTTTCCTCCAAAATAATGATGGTCAGTATGGCCAAACAGTTCTATTTTTGTTTCATCAGACCAGAGGACATTTCTCCAAAAAGTACGATCTTTGTCCCCATGTGCATTTGCAAACCGTAGTCTGGCTTTTTTATGGCGGTTTTGGAGCAGTGGCTTCTTCCTTGCTGAGCGGCCTTTCAGGTTATGTCGATATAGGACTCGTTGTACTGTGGATATAGATACTTTTGTACCTGTGTCCTCCAGCATCTTCACAAGGTCCTTTGCTGTTGTTCTGGGATTGATTTGCACTTTTCGCACCAAAGTACGTTCATCTCTAGGAGACAGAATGCATCTCCTTCCTGAGCGGTATGATGGTTGCGTGGTCCCATGGTGTTTATCCTTGCGTACCTTTGTTTGTACAGATGAACTTGATACCTTCAGGCATTTGGAAATTGCTCCCAAGGATGAACCAGACTTGTGGAGTTCTACAAAAAAATGTCTGAGGTCTTGGCTGATATCTTTTGATTTTCCAATGATGTCAAGCAATGAGGCACTGAGTTTGAAGGTAGTCCTTGAAATACATCCACAGGTACACATCCAATTGACTCAAATGATGTAAATTAGCCTATCAGAAGCTTCTAAAGCCTTGACATCATTTTCTGTAATTTTCCAAGCTGTTTAAAGGCACAGTCAATTTAGTGTATGTAAACTTCTGACCCACTGGAATTGTGATACAGTGAATTATAAGGGAAATAATCTGTCTGTAAAAAATTGTTGGAAAAATTACTTGTGTCATGCACAAAGTAGATGTCCTAACCGACTTGTCAAAACTATAGTTTGTTAACAAGACATTTGTGGAGTGGTTGAAAAACTAGTTTTAATGACTCCAACCTCAGTGTATGTAAACTTCCGACTTCAACTGTATATTTGTAGTGACTGGGTGTATTGACCAAGCTAACTTATGGAATTGTTTTAAGATGGTCATACCAAGGATCAGTTAGGTATTTGATTTGGAATTTTAGGACCACTTTACGTAGAAAAAAAATATATAAAAATAATAATTTGATATAACATTTAATTTTTCCTCGCCGCTATTTGCCCATAGAAACAGATTCATACATGGAAAAACAGATAGTCAGAAAATAAATCAAACGGAAGTTTGTTTTAAAGTGTCTGTCCTATATCTGACGGATATAAGAAAGATCAGGAAATGATATACAGTGCATTCGGAAAGTATTCAGACCCCTTTACTTTTTCCACATTTTGTTACTTTACAGCGTTATTCTAAAATGGATTAAATTGTTTTTTTTTCCCCTCATCAATCTACTCACAATACCCCATAATGACAAAGCAAAAACAGATTTTTTGAAATGTTTGCCAAATAAATAAATAATAATCACATTTACATAAGTATTCAGACCCTTTAATCAGTACTTTGTTGAAGCATCTTTGGCAGCGTTTACTGCCTCGAGTCTTCTTGGGTATGATGCTACAATTTTGGCACACCTGTATTTGGGGAGTTTCACCCATTATTCTCTGCAGATCCTCTCAAGCTCTGTCAGGTTGGAAGGGGAGCGGCACTGCACAGCTATTTTTCAGGTCTCTCCAGAGATGTTCAATCGGGTTCAAGTCTGGGCTCTGGCTGGGCCACTCAAGGACATTCAGAGACTTGTCCCGAAGCCACTCCTGCGTCGTCTTGGCTGTGTGCTTAGGGTCGTTGTCCTGTTGGAAGGTGAACCTTCTCCCCAGTCAGGTCCTGAGCGCTCGGGAGTAGGTTTTCATCAAGGATCTCTCTGTACTGCTCCGTTCATCTTTCCCTTGATCCTGAATAGTCTCCCAGTCCCTGCCGCTGAAAAACATCCCCACAGCATGATGCTGCCACCACCATGCTTCACCGTAGGGATGGTGCCAGATTTCCTCCAGATGTGACACCTGCCAAAGAGTTCAATCTTGGTTTCATCAGACCAGAGAATCTTGTTTCTCATAGTCTGAGAGTCCTTTAAGTGCCTTTTGGCAAACTCCAAGCGGGCTGTCATGTGCCTTTTGCTGAGGAGTGGCTTCCGTCTGGCCACTCTACCATAAAGGCCTGATTGGTGGAGTGCTGCAGAGATGGTTGTCCTTCTGGAAGGTTCTCCCATGTCCAGAGAGGAACTCTGGAGCTCTGTCAGAGTGACCATCGGGTTCTTGGTCACCTCCCTGACCAAGGCCCTTCTCCCCCGATTGCTCAGTTTGGCCGGGCGGCCAGCTCTAGGAAGCGTCTTGGTGGTTCCAAACTTCTTCCAATAAAGAATGATGGAGGCCGCTGTGTTCTTGGGGACCTTCAATGCTGCAGACATGTTTTGGTACCCTTCCCCAGATCTGTGCCTCGACACAATTCTGTCTCGGAGCTCTATGGACAATTACTTTCGACCTCATGGCTTGGTTTGTGATATTTCAGTTTCATTTTTAATGAATTTGCAAAAATAAAAAATAAACGGTTTTGGGTATTGTGTGTAGATTGATGCGGTGGGAAAAAAACAATTTAATCAATTTTAGAAGGCGGCTGTAACTTAACAAAATGTGGAAAAAGTCAAGGGGTCTGAATACTTTCCCAATGCACTGTATGTTCTGTTAGGTTTGAGAAGGAGAGTGTGAAGATGAAGAGGTCAACATTGATAGCTACTACCATAATTGATTTTAATAAACAATATGTTTCTTGCCCATGATGTATTTATCAGAGTTATTGACCTCACAATAAGCCAGATTCTAGTCATTTACATTGTGGTTCTGAAACTTAAAGCAGCAGTCACAGCACAATCAATCGGAAATGGACAGCTCATGGTGCTGAAAGTAGGCAAATTCGAGTAGGCATAATTAATTTCAACCATCTTAATTTTAATTAGACTTTACTAACAACAAGAACGCTTTGTGTTGGAGCCTATTTCTTCCTATTTAAGAAATAAGAGGTAGGCTTAACTGTTTGACAGATTAAATTAGGCCATAAACTGCTATATGTCGGCCAATTCCTCCACCCACCATGCACTCTTTAAATAGCCTACCTCCGTGTCAGTGAAGGCCATAGGCCTACCTTTTATTAAAGAGAAAAAGCACAGACCTACCCATTGTTAGTTTAAGATTTTGAAGAAAATAAAACAGATCCAATTATATAAAGTGATACTTATATAACAGCAAGTTTGGTCCGCAATGCTTCAGCTAGAAACAAGCTGTAAAATACCAGGGAAAGACATGACTCCAATGCATATGGGGATATCATTGTTTCATTTATTTGACATTCAGATGCTGAGCTACAACCTTCTATGGCCGAGGAGACAAAACATTGACTTTGCTTGGGAAGTAATCTAGTTCTGTCACTATCAATTGATTAAACTATTCACTTTCTGTACAATAGAAGATGTTTAAACCTAGACAGCTTTTAGGGAAACACTTGTGACCTTTTCTCGTTGGGTTAAGCCATGGAAGGAGAGTAGCCAGCAGTTGAAGCTTACATTTTTCTGCGTCGGTAGGCCTACTGTCTGCGGTGAAACTTTTGAAAGTATAATAATATAATATGCCATTTAGCAGACACGTTTATCCAAAGCGATTTATAGTAATGTGTGCACACATTTTTAAGTATGGGTGTTCCCGGGGATCAAACCCACAACTCTGGCGTTACAAGCGCCATGCTCTACCAATTGAGCTACAGAGGACCATGCTCAGATTCCTAATCTCAGATTTAATTATTTGCAAACAGGGACAGTTTCGTAGCAAACAAGACACACTGATTTGGCATTAGAGAACATATAAAATGAACACGTAGGCGTATCTCTCTGTCCATTATTAGCCTGTAATTTTGGTAATCAGATTTAATTATTTGCAAACAGGGACAGTTTCGTAGCAAACAAGACACACTGATTTGGCATTAGAGAACATATAAAATGAACACGTAGGCGTATCTCTCTGTCCATTATTAGCCTGTAATTGTCAAATGATGTAGAATTGCATGACATTTTCATAAAATACAATTTTTTCTCAGACCTGCAAATACGATGATCGATTCATGCAATGCTTTTACTATAAAGTAGATCTATCTACCCCTGCTCTTGTCCATGGTGGTCTGTGAACCCACAACCTTCTCCCCCACAGCCCTGTGCACTATCAAAATTCCTGAGGTGCCCTGTAATGCTGATGCAGCACTCCATCGCTCTCCTTCTTGGTCAAATAGCCCTTACTGGTTAAGTAGCCATGCTGGTTAAGTGTGCCTTGAATTCTAAATAAATTACTGACAGTGTCACCAGCAAAGCACCCGCACACCACCACACCTCCTCCTCCATGCTTCACGGTGGGAACTACACATGCAGAGATCATCCGTTCACCTACTCTGCGTCTCACAAAGACACGGCGGTTGGAACCAAATATCTCAAATTTGGACTCCTCAGACCAAAGGACAGATTTCCACCGGTCTAATGTCCATTGCTCATGTTTCTTGTCCCAAGCAAGTCTCTTCTTCTTATTGGTGTCCTTTAGTAGTGGTTTCTTCGCAACAATTCGACCATGAAGGCCTGATTCACGCAGTCTCCTCTGAACAGTTGATGTTGAGATGTGTCTGTGACTTGAACTCTGTGAAGCATTTATTTGGGCTGCAAGTTCTGAGGCTGGTAACTCTAATGAACTTATCCTCTGCAGCAGAAGTAACTCTGGGTCTTCCTTCCTGTGGCGGTTCTCATGAGAGCCAGTTTCATCATAGCATTTGATGGTTTTTACGACTGCACTTGAAGAAACTTTCAAAGTTCTTGAAATTTCCGGATTGATTGACCTTCATTTCTTAAAGTAATGATGGACTGTCATTTCTATTTGCTTTTTTGAGCTGTTCTTGCCATAATATGGACTTGGTCTTTTACCAAATAGGGCTATCTTCTGTATACCCCCCCTACCTTGTCACAACACAACTGATTGGCTCAAACGCATTAAGATGAAAGAAATTCCATAAATTAACTTTTAACAAGGCACACCTGTTAATTTAAATGCATTCCAGGTGACTACCTCATGAAGCTGGTTGAGAGAATGCCAAGAGTGTGCAACGCTGTCATCAAGTCAAAGGGTGGCCTTTGATTTGTTTAACACTTTTTTGGTTATGTCACGATCGTGACAGGTTACTACATGATTCCCTATGTGTTATTTCATAGTTTTGATGTCTTCACTATTATTCTACAATGTAGAAAATAGTAAAAATAAAGAAAAACCCTGGAATGAGTAGGTGTGTCCTAACATTTGACTGGTACTGTATGGGTGGTATTGTAGTGGTATTGTTACCCTGTAGAGTGATCTCCTTCATATTTGGGTAGATTTTCTAATATCCCGTCCGGAACGGCGGTCAGCTGGTTGTCATAGATTCTCAGTACCTGCAGTTTGTGCAGCTTTGAGAACAGAGCAGAGGCCACTGAACGTAGGTGTTTTTTGGCCAGATGGAGGATCTGAAAGTTTTTAAGGCCATCAAACAGTCTTATGTCCAGACTACAGATCTGGTTGAGTTTCAGCAGAAGTTTTTCCAGGTTGTGCAGCAGGTCTTGGAAAACACCTACAGACACAGATGTTAGTGGGATACTGGAGATCTCAATGTGCTTGAGGTCGACCAATCCCTTGAAGGCACCGGTCTCTATGGAGACAGTGGGGGTGTTGATGAACTCCTCCTATTCCAGCTGGGGGTTGGTGGTGAAGGCCCCCTTTGTGATGACAGTGATTTGACCATCCACAAAGAAGACCTCTGTGGCACCTGCTTTAAGAGTTACCGGGATCTGTGTTACATCCTTGCCATCAACATCCTGGTTCTCTTTGGGGCAGTCAGTCTCCTTCTCACAGGACTGAGACTAATACCCAAACAGCAAAGGCAGAAGACAGATGAAGATGTGTCCTCTAGCCATTTTTCCTGAAAATATGTATAACTTTTTATGGAAAGATTTCGTTTTGATATTGTAATTAACTTGATATATTCTAAAGTATTATTGATTCACAAAGAAAGGGGATCTCTAAAGTGAAACCTGCAGCAAAACGATAAGCAGAGCAATGACACTGGAGCCGTTTAACGCTAAGGTAGTCCCCTGTAGCTCAGTTGGTAGAGCATGGCGCTTGCAACGCCAGGGTTGTGGGTCCGTTTCCCACAGGGGGCCAGTATGAAAATGTATGCACTCACTTAACTGTTATTCGCTCATGATAAGAGTGTCTGCTAAATGACTAAAAAATAAAATAATGCTGTCCGACATGAAAGAAAACAGCTAATCCTGATTATTTCCTCTTGTCTTGAGGCTTATAACTGAGAGAGGCGATTAGGACAGTTATAGAGAGAGTCAGGCAAACACACAGTTTTGTAGAGAGTTTACTTGGCCCAAAATCTGTCCATGAATATATATATATATATATATATATATATATATATATATATATATATATATATATATATATATATATTGTCAATGAGGGTCAATGAGAGTGTCAAATTTGGCCAACATAAAATGTAATTGCTAATTTGCTATGTGAGGCTTATTTTATCAAATATAAATTTCGTAATGGTAAGGTTGTTACGAATGCACTGATTAAGTGGATGTACTTGGCATTTTGGCAACATTTGAATAAAACAACTTTATATTGGCGTTGTGCCTGTTGTTCACACGCGTATCTGCCCTCTCATTGGCTAGAATGGTCCCACCTGATCTTGCCTCCTCCCGCCTGCCTTCCATCAAAAACAGTACAGTGCTTCCATCTTTGAGGACATTACTTCCATTGTTAGAGTGGTCACTCAAGTATCTTGTCAATATAATAAGCACAGCAGGCTTCCAGTGTGCTAGGTGCCTACTGGAGGCAACATGAGGCGTGGCTAGAGAACCCTCTGCTGTCAGAGATAAGGAACAGAGCTGTGAGCCCATAGAACACACATTGTGGGCTATACTAGAACTCTGAAGCTAATGGCAGTGGTGTTATGTATGCTTTAGTACTGTATTCTTTATTCCTTATTTTCTAATAATCACTTAGGCTATTACACAGTATGTGTCCATATAGGTTCAATTACAGTAGCTATGGTTTCTGTTTTGTCATGTTAATGTTCAGTTGAAATGTGTATGCGTTCTTTGGTTGGTTATGCCATGATCAGTGATTCAGTGAGTTCCAGAACGCACTATGAGATACAGAATACAGTAGCACTGTGTCAAAGGTCACTGGTATGATCTAAACAATGCATCATTTTGTATTGTACCGCTCCAGAAAGTCACATGCAGCCGGGGTCATTATTCTTCTCTAAGTGTAGCGGATTGGTTCAGAGAATGAATAATGATGAATGGACATATTTTCTTCATGAACTAGCAGGTTTATGAATTAGTAGTAGAGTTTGTTTAATTTATTTAGGAAAGTAGCCTTTAGGTGGTTATGTCTTCCTTTACCAGCAGAAAGTTCACTGAAAGCTTGTATGCTTCATTTGAAAGAAAACCCCAAATGTGTATTATTCAAGATTTAAAGCCTCAAACCTCAAACTAAAAAGAGACTAAGTCCATCCAGCTCTCTTGCAATTGTGTATAGTTGTGAGTTTGTTTAATTGTTTACGTCCTGTATCTTGTCTGTTTGAATTGAGCCTTGTGTCCTTCACCACCACTTAGTAACACCACTCTACAGTCTGCACCTCTCTTACCCTCCAAAATACTATAAGCGCAATCAAATGTAGGGCACTGCATTAATTGAAGCCAGTGGATTCCAGCTCTTTAGTCAAACATTCAGTTTCACAATTTTCCCCATAGAAGAGGATCGACCTTATGCAACATAAATATTGTTATATTGCTGCTAATACATTATACATTTTACTATGTGAATCACTAGATTCTATTCAATATTCAAATGTTTTGTGTGTTTGTAGGCTACAATATAATAATGTTATTATTCAATCCATCAATTTTGTTAAACGAGAATGGTCTTCAAAAGGCCAATGTAGGCAGAAAAAGAATATGGTCTATATCTTTTTCCATAATAAACACTAGTGATTTGGGCCTATTCCCTCTGTACCAGTACCCCCTGTATATAGCCTCCCTACTGTTATCTTATTTTACTGCTGCTCTTTCATTATTTGCTATTTTTTACTTATCTATTTTTTACTTAACACTTTTTTTTTCTTTTCTTAAAAACGGCATTGTTGTTTAAGGGCTTGTAAGTAAGCATTTCACTGTAATGTCTACACCTGTTGCATTCGGCGCATGTGGCAAATAAAATTCGATTTGATTTGAAACAAATGTGATTGGTTGATTCCACTGTCACTCCAAAATGTTGCCCTAATACAGTTAATGGCAGATGGCTTTATCTAGCTTCTGATGGCCTAGCCAATGGTTGACTTGGATAGCTAGTCCCCTGTAGCTCAGTTGGTAGAGCATGGCGCTTGCAACACCAGGGTTGTGGGTTCGTTTCCCACGGGGGGGGCAGTATGAAAATGTATGCACTCACTAACTGTAAGTCGCTCTGGATAAGAGCGTCTGCTAAATGACTAAAATGTAAATACGGGCCTGCCATCATTCACTTTGAACTGGACTGTGTGTTTACAGGCAGTAGGACAGCGTGACATTAGATCATTAGAACGCATTTGCCAAAAGCCACAAAATACACCTGAATGGATTTCTGCAAATATGTAAACACCACGGGAGTCCTCTTACATTTGGGAACTTTATAGTCCTATTGATCAAACAACCATGAAAAGGTAGGCTCTCTCTCCCTCAGTTATAAACATCAACAACTAATGCTAGCCAGAGTAAGATTAGCTCAAATCTAACGAAGGAACATTAGATAAAACCTGTCAAACTTCTTCAGCTAGTTGGCTGTCAAAATTGTACTGATAAACGATGGGGAATTGTAGCCTCCTCGTCCTTCTGAAGCTTGCCTGCCAATGCATGATTTTCCCAACCAAGCACGCAAGCTAACTGGCTAAAGTTGGCTAGTTTGCTACTTCCAAAGACAAATTAGAGAACACCTCACTCTGACCATTTTACTCGCAGTAGCAAAGCTGTTTAGGCTGTTTACAGTTGTTCTGTGCTCTGGCACACTCAGACGAGAGTGCTCTGAAATCGGAGTAGATAGCCAGAGTGAATTTGCGAACGCAAGAGATATGCTAACTAGATAATAGTCGTTGAAGTTCTTGCTAGCTAATTTTCCCCAAACATCAGACACCCCCTGACCTCGGACACTCTCTAGCGGTTGGAGGACTGAATCACCTCGACTTAAATGGACTGAAAAATAACGGTAAGTTTTGTGACTAACGACACCCTTTTAGCTAGCTGACCACCGATTTTCAGTGCAATTTATGTAAGTTAAGTTAGGTTTTGAGAGTTTTCAAAAAAGTTATATGTACACATTTTGTGGAACACGCTGCATATTGTAAAATTCGACTGCGCGACAGACCACACCTAATTTAATATCCAACTTTTTACCTCTGAAATATAGCTAACGGATTTTCTAATGTTGCTATCTTAGTTGCTAAATGTTGATAGAACTGCTAAGTAAGCAAAAAGGAAAGAAATTGTAAGTGTTAGATAATACATATCACGAAAACAGCTGCATGTTGTCAAGCTTTACCGTATCAAAATTGGAGTCCTCTGACGGAGGCGTTTTGCACAATCTGCAAAAATGTATTTGGAACTTTGAACCATGAACTTTTCGACACCTATCACTGTTGGCTATGTTTCATCTTACAACAGCTACATAGAGGCAGTATTTAGTTAAATGGTACAATGTATGCATCAATATTACACTAATTGGGACACTAATTTTCATTACAGATAACATCAAACAAAAAACGTGGGTACACTTTCAGTTATTGTGAAAACTTTCATCACCTTTCAATGCCTTAGCTTTGAAATGTAAATGTTTATACATATTCAGATTGAGTTATCTTTCTAAAATGTGTATAGTATGCCAAGTTATTTAGCTACATGTATTTACCACTGCAGCATGGAGAAAGTCAAGAGGAAGCAGTGGAGTGAGGTGGACATGTGCCATACCATGGAGGACTGCGGGGCAGGGATGGCTATCCGCCAGGCTGCCAAGGTTAGGCATCTTTTGTTTTTAGGAGATTACCATGTGTATGTGAATTGTATCTGCTAGTAACAGTTTTCTTTTCTTATCTACCAAGGTGCATGGTGTACCTCGGCAGACCCTGGCGGACAGGCTGAGCGGCCGGGTGACCCATGGTTGTCGCAGTGGACCACCCACATTGCTTGCACCAGAGGATGAAAAGTCTCTGGTGCAGTACTGTATCTACTGCGCCAGCCTTGGGTTTCCCTTCACCAGACAGAGGCTGATGAAATACGCCAACAAAATACGCAGGTATTTGGTGTTCTATGTGTTTATGTATGTAGATTGGTGGACTGACTGTTCTCAATGTGTGTGATGTAAATGTGGATGTGTATGGTGATGCCAAAACAAACATTTTCATCCTGGATGGACAATTATATATTCTATTCTATTGTAGGTTTCGGCACCCAGGGGAAACAATCCCACCACTGGGGAAGAGGTGGTGGGAAATGTTCAGGAGGAGGCACAAGAACCTTAGCATGAGGAGGCCGGACACCCTGGATAGGGGGAGAGCTGAGTGTGCCACACATCCGACGATGGACACCTTCTTCACTTCTTATGAGAAGCACTTGGAGGAGAGTGGGTTGAGGGAGAAACCCAGACAAATATATAACTGCGATGAGTCTGGGTTTCGTAGCGACCAGAGCAGGCACAAAGTGCTGGCTCCCCGGGGCGCAAAACACGTGTATCAGCAGGCTCCGGGGACCAAGGAGCACATCACAGTGCTGGCCTGCTTCAACGCAACTGGGGAGGACGTCCCCCCGTTTATCATCTACCCCAAGTGTTTCCCCGGTGGCCACTACACACTGGGAGGCCCCCCCCAAGCCTTGTATGGACGGTCAAGCAGTGGCTACATTGACGGGGACCTGTTCAGGAAGTGGTTTCAGCACTTCATTAAGTATGCAGTGAAAGAGCGCCCTCTCCTTCTCCTCTTCGATGAGCACAAGAGCCACATGGACCCGGAAGTGCTCGCGGTGGCACTAAGGGAAGGGGTTATACTTCTTTGTCTTCCACCACACTGCACCCATGTCCTGCAGCCGCTGGACGTGGCATACTTTGGCCCTTTAAAGGCTGAGTTCTCCAAGGTAGCTGGAGACCTTAGCCATTTTGACCACTCCTACATGGTAAACAAATCAGAATTTGCCAGAGTATTCCGCTACCCGTACCAGCGATGCAAGGACATGCGCTATGTGGTGGAAGGGTTTAAGAAGTGTGGCATCTTCCCTTTTGACCCTTCAGCCATTGAAGGGTCCCGTTTAATGCCGTCTCGGACCCTACCGGGTCCCAACACCGCCTCTACTGGAACCAGCAGCACTGTGCCATCCATCAGCACCTCCTCCCCAGCGACCACAGGAGGACCCTCAGCCCCTGCCCCAGTCCCAGCCGCTGCTCCAGTCCTATCCCTAGCTCTAGAAGAGCATCCCCTAATAGAGGGGGGGCTGATAGCGAAGGACCTGGGGCACATCCTTACTGTCCTGAAGTATCGGCTGGACCGATACAGAAGACTCCCTGTGGTCGCCACATGCCTCACCGGGGAGGAATACACGCGCCAGTGGCAGGAGAGGGGTGAGAAGGAGAGGGCCGGGGCAGAGGAGAAAGAGCGTCGGGCAGCCCTCAGAACACAGAGGGCACAGGAGAGGGCTGCCATGGATGAGACCATTGACGCCATCGCCTCTGCTGGACCCCCTGCTGGAACCACTCCTGACAGCTGCATCACCACTGCCAGTGCCTCCCAGTGTGCAACACCTGTAGGAGCCGCCGGAGTCCCCAGCTGCAGAAGAAGGCCACATGCCTACTCTCCCGGCCACACCATCGTCGGCCCCTCAACCCCACCATTACAAACACCAGCTCCTCCAAGCCATCGTCGGCGGTTTTGTCCACCACCACCCCAATGCACACCACCCCCCATGTCTGTCACCACCAACACGGCCTCCTCTGGACCAACTGCCTCCTCCGTCTCCCCTGGTCACACCACCATAGCAGCCTCGTCTGGTGTCCCTGCCCCCTGCAATTTGAATACCACCACCTCCACAGGTAAACACATGTTAAATTACGAAAAAATGACTGTTTGTTATCTGTTTTATAAAACAGCAATGTAAAAATAAAAAAATATATCTTTATATATCTACAGTACATAGCACCAGCCCTCAAGTCATCTCCGCCTCCTCCAAAACCTCTGCAGCTTCCTCCAGAGGTATTGATGTAAAAAAGTTGAAAAGGGTTTTCATGCAACATGCTCTGTCTAACACTACTTTTTCTCAAACTGCAGCACAGAAAAGGAAGAGAAAAGCTACACCGGTCACATCTGTCACACCACCCATGGCACCACTCTCAGGTACTTCATAATCTGTTTTTCTCGCTCTCTCAGTTGTATCAATTACTATTGTTGTTGAAGAACTTCTACATTTTGCAAAACCATATTAATCAATTTGTATTATTATTTAATTTTTTATAAAAGAAGACACCACCTGCTGTGCTCGCTGCGGGGAGCGTGATCCGCCTGCAAGCTCCTCTCAGGAGTGTAGATCCGAGGTGCCATGGGTGTGCTGTGACTTTTGCCAGCACTGGTTCCACTGCAGGTGTGTGCAGTGGGATCAAGAGGTAGCGGTGGAGCTGGATTTTTATTGTGATTTTTGTGACAATATAGGGATGGAGGTCGAGATTTAATTGTTTGTTTTGTTTGTGTTCATATGAAATTATTTATTTGTTCAAAAAAATAAATGTCTAAAATATAATATATATATTTATTGAACCCATCTTGTGTATTTCTTCCTTTACTTTCCAAGTGCACCTCTGCAACACAAACTCCAACACTGTTTTCATTGTTTTATGTTAATGCACATAACTGAAATTAAAGTGTATTTGATGTAAATTATTAATACTCATATTTCATTTGGTTACAACACTGAATATGTTGGTGAAGAACCAATTTTTTAAGAGTCCACAAGAGGGCGCACCGGGCTACGCAATGAAAAGTTGACAGGCAAATCATTATTTTTTACCGGAAGACTAGCCAACTAGTCAACTATCTAGTAAACACTTCGGCTACGTGGTTGGTGTCTCTTTTTTCAACAAAATCAAACGGATATATCTTGTAATTGAACAAAATAGTAAGGTGCCCAATAACTGGGGGCCGTATACAGATAATACGGGACGTATTTTTTTGCTAAACCGCTTATCAAAAGCAGATAACAGTAATATTTCAAATGAAATGTCAAACTTGCTAATTGCTAAACCGTTAGCTAACATTTTTACGACACCAATAATCACAAAACATTGAAGGCTTGATCACAAGATAACACTGTTGAAGGTAATATATTTCTTAAACGCTGTTGAATATGCCGATAATACGGGATTCTACGCTAGCTATCTAAATGACACTTGCATCTCGAGCTGCGTATAGCCACTGAAAAAACGATATGAAGGAAAAAAGTCAGCTACTCACCCACTCCTCCAATGGCATGATATGACATCCTCCTAGCAGCTAGCTAGCTAGCTAATGTTAGGCTCTGTGTTTTTAGCTTGCTACATAAATAGATACGCTAGCCTATTAGCCACATTATGAATGACTTGTGATCTTTGCCCTTGCTAGTTTGATTGTATTGACATTCCCAGCGTTAATTACATTTGTCAGTTTTTGTCCAGAATGGAGGCAGCAAACAATGTACCAGACCAGCTGTGATTTACAACCTGATAGCAATATATTTTGGACTACCAAGAAATGTATAGGTGAATTATATTAATCATGCATTTAATTGCATCCATCTATTCTGTCAACAATGCCTTAGTGTACGTCATGGAAAGTTGAGTCAAATAGAACATATTTTTAAAACCTCTTATAAAGTTAGTTTTGAGGCATAAACTGGGAATTTGATATTTCTGACTGATATTATGATTGTCTGTTTGTTTGTTTCATATCTGCAAAGTAGTTAAAACGCTGTCAGTTCCACTTTAAACTTTAGGTCACGGGTTACTTTGTCTGCTAAAGGTGAAATGTTTTTTTTGCAATGGGAAGTAATAGTTGTACATTTCGATTGGGAAATGCTTAATAGTTGTATTTTTGTATTCTTATGATTAGGACCTACTGTCTTATTGTTTCTGAGTTTATGGACTGCTTATCATTTTTTTCAATTTTCACCTAAAATGACATACCCAAATCTAACTGCCTGTAGCTCAGGACCTGAAGTAAGGATATGCATATTCTTGATATCATTTGAAAGGAAACACTTTGAAGTTCGTGGAAATGTGAAATTAATGTAGGAGAATATAACACATTAGATCAGGTAAAAGATAATACAAACAAACAAAACATGCGTTTTGTGTTTTGTTGCATCATCTTTGAAATGCAAGAGAAAGGCCAGACAGTGATAAAGGATTCTAGCTGTAATTTAGATGTTGTCCACCAGATGGCAGCAGTGTGTGTGCAAAGTTTCAGACTGATCCAGTGAAGAATTACATCACTACACAATATTTCCTATCAAGTCTGCCAGGAGTTTTCCTAAATATGCCAAATTGGTTTTCAAGTACATAACTATAAAGAACATACAAAAATGCTATGGTAATACAAAATTTAAGTTTGCACACTCACAGGAATGTCATAAATGATGGATAATTAGCTTCCCTACAGAAAATACACTAACCTTCACACATCTAGATGGCTGGGTGGGATGGGTGTGGAGTCAGAGTTCAAACTGTAGAACCCAGTTCCTACATTTGAATATAAAAATTGATTTTTCAATTTTTCTTATCTCTGGGACCCTCGGGATGACAAATCAGAGCAAGATTACTGAATGTAAGTACATTATTTACCTTCAGAGGGGAATGTACCAAACCAGTTGCCATGATTAAAGTGTTTTGTTGTTGTGCACTGTCCTCAAACAATAGCATGGTATTTCTTTAGCTGTAATAGCTACTGTAAATTGGACACTGCAGTTAGATTAACAATAATTTAAGCTTTCTGCCCATATAAGACATGTCTATGTCCCGGAAAGTTGGCTGTTGTTTACAACACCATTCTAGTCACATATTGCATATTGAGCAACAACCGTCCCTTATTAGGGACACTGATCCGGTAGAGGTTAACATCATGCTGTGTGTGACTGCTGTCTTTCCATCGGCCCTATGCAGTGGTGTAGTGGTGCCTGGAGAAGTGGGTATACTCTAATCTTGCAAAAATGTTCCCAAACGGCCCGCCCAGCGAAGGAAAGGCACCGTGTGAAAAATCCGAAGTTTTTTAAATGAGTTTTCCTATAGATTTTTCAGATTTTCACTCTCAAAATCAGCGTTTTTTTAAAATATACAAAACACAAACATTTGATGGTCTAAATCCACAACAATGCTTAAACTACATCAATCTGATTAGGTGGGCCTGTCAGGGCCTGGTTCCCCAATTGGTGGGACTCTGTCCACCCAGCCCCCATCCATGTCTATGCCCCTTATGCAAACAGCTACATGATAACAATTGCGCATCACAAATAGCCTACTAACCAACACTTCGGACTAAACTTTTTTTATACATGGTTTGCATACCCATTGTTGCCTTAGTTAGCAGTTACTGGTAGATATCATGAATTGAAATGTCTTTCCTACCCTACCGGCTACCGATGTCAGTCTTCTGTGAGCTGCTCCATGTCAAAACCAGTGGAGAGCTGCACTCCCTTGCTGCCTGCAGATTATATTCGGCTGAAACTAGGCAGTATGCGGCGCGCATGTGAATATATTTAACGTGCTTTGCGATTGTGTAGGCTACTTTGTGCATGATTTCTCTATTGTACTACAAATCGTATACTTCCACTACACTACTTTGATACGCATCAGTAGGGATTAAGAAGTGAGTATAGGTAATGCACACTGGGGGAAAAAGTACCTGCGTATACCCTTCACTACACTGCTGGCCCTTTGCGATGGTATTACGGTTGCTGTCCTTTCAGAATCACGAACCTGTCACACACTGAAGGTGAATAGGTTCGCCACTGCACAAACATGTCTATAATAGATATAAAGGCTGTCAAGATATTAATGTTTCAAGAAAGGAGTGTACAGTGGGGAAAAAAAGTATTTAGTCAGCCACCAATTGTGCAAGTTCTCCCACTTAAAAAGATGAGAGAGGCCTGTAATTTTCATCATAGGTACACGTCAACTGTGACAGACAAAATGAGGAAAAAAAATCCAGAAAATCACATTGTAGGAGTTTTATGAATTTATTTGCAAATTATGGTGGAAAATAAGTATTTGGTCAATAACAAAAGTTTCTCAATACTTTGTTATATAGCCTTTGTTGGCAATGACACAGGTCAAACGTTTTCTGTAAGTCTTCACAAGGTTTTCACACACTGTTGCTGGTATTTTGGCCCATTCCTCCATGCAGATCTCCTCTAGAGCAGTGATGTTTTGGGGCTGTCGCTGGGCAACATGGACTTTCAACTCCCTCCAAAATCTCACGATACATGGCCCCATTCATTCTTTCCTTTACACGGATCAGTCGTCCTGGTCCCTTTGCAGAAAAACAGCCACAAAGCATGATGTTTCCACCCCCATGCTTCACAGTAGGTATGGTGTTCTTTGGATGCAACTCAGCATTCTTTGTCCTCCAAACACGACGAGTTGAGTTTTTACCAAAAAGTTATATTTTGGTTTCATCTGACCATATGACATTCTCCCAATCCTCTTCTGGATCATCCAAATGCACTCTAGCAAACTTCAGACGGGCCTGGACATGTACTGGCTTAAGCAGGGGGACACGTCTGGCACTGCAGGATTTGAGTCCCTGGCGGCGTAGTGTGTTACTGATGGTAGGCTTTGTTACTTTGGTCCCAGCTCTCTGCAGGTCATTCACTAGGTCCCCCCGTGTGGTTATGGGATTTTTGCTCACCGTTCTTGTGATCATTTTGACCCCACGGGGTGAGATCTTGCGTGGGGAGATTATCAGTGGTCTTGTATGTCTTCCATTTCCTAATAATTGCTCCCACAGTTGATTTCTTCAAACCAAGCTGCTTACCTATTGCAGATTCAGTCTTCCCAGCCTGGTGCAGGTCTACAATTTTGTTTCTGGTGTCCTTTGACAGCTCTTTGGTCTTGGCCATAGTGGAGTTTGGAGTGTGACTGTTTGAGGTTGTGGACAGGTGTCTTTTATACTGATAACAAGTTCAAACAGGTGCCATTAACACAGGCAACGAGTGGAGGACAGAGGAGCCTCTTAAAGAAGAAGTTACAGGTCTGTGAGAGCCAGAAATCTTGCTTGTTTGTAGGTGACCAAATACTTATTTTCCACCATAATTTGCAAATAAATTCATTAAAAATCCTACAATGTGATTTTCTGGATTTTTGTTTCTCAATTTGTCTGTCATAGTTGACGTGTACCTATGATGAAAATTACAGGCCTCTCTCATCTTTTTAAGTGGGAGAACTTGCACAATTGGTGGCTGACTAAATACTTTTTTCCCCCACTGTATATATTTGGCCTGGCGAAGCGGTTTTATGCGCTGATTGAATGGAAGCTGATAATTATGAGGTTTTTTTACTCCACTGGTCTCTGGAAATTACCAGTTCTAACTGTCCGAGACCGAGTCAAGACCGAGTAGGCTACAAATGTATCTGACACCAAGACAAGACCGAGACACTCAATATGTGGTCTCGAGTACTACAACACTGCACCCACGACACCTTTCTATGTGCACCAAAATTATGATCTGTTTCACCGAATTTCATTGTGAAGCCTAAAAATGTAATATCGTATTTTATAATTTAGCTAGTCATGTTGGCAATAGAACTAGCTTTCAAATGATGCCAACCTGACCCAGAGTACGATTTATAATGGACCGTTTTTGGATTGCCTAAACAACAACAGAAATGGTGTGATGGTAGGGATGCACGGTTGTGTTCGAAACAAAACAACTACAAGTGTGCTTGCTCTAGTTCCTCAATGATTTTCATATTTCTTCTGTAAGAAACATTTCAATTTATCCCTATCCATACAGGCATATTTCCATGAGTGTAAAGGGTTTTAAGAAAGCTTTCCATAAAAACCACAAGAAAACTTTAGTAATGTTCAGAGAATGTTCTAAGAATGTTATTTAAAATGTATATACATTCCGTTCTCAGCATCAACAAAACTCGATGTATCCTCTATCTTGTTAAGTGTGTTCAGGTAGATGGGTGGTTTACATTTCAACCTCTACGTGTAGGCCTATACCATCAACGTGCTTTAGACACATGGAATGTACCAAGGATACAGTCAGAATCTCCCTCACACACAAACACTGGATGCCAAGGTTGTGGCAGAGCTCTTAATCTGAACCCCTCCCAACAGCACCACGAACCCTTGGCATAAACATGATTATCAATCTTTTTTGTGTAGCCTACTCAGAGTGCATACATATTTGACTAGTGTGATAACATCTCATTCCAGTAGTCCGGCTTAAAACGTCAATTTTTTTTTTGTGGTATACAACTGGATCAAATACTATCGGCTGAAGAAGATGGGAATCCCCACACAACAGTTCAACACAACTCTTTATCACACAATGAACACTTGTCTCTTGAGCATTTCAGAATATCACTACTATGTTGTGTATTTATTTAATATAACAGTCAGTCATTTTATGTGATTTGTGTGTGGAGCATAACAATTTACAAGTAGATGAAACCATCCTTTATCTATTGATTACACTATATCAAAATTACACAATAAGCAGCCTAATTCCAGTCAGTAAATCATAAAAAAGAGCTTCTTGAAAATCAACAGGTGTGTGATAAGACTATATGCTGAACATTACATTTGTTCAGTATATATGCAAAAAAAAATTGACCAGTATAAAAAGAAAGAAGAATGGCATTTTGTGCATACCATCCATGCAATTTCCAGGTGATTATTGTTACAGTTTATAAGATGTTCTTTTTGGTTCTTTGTGCAAAACATTGTTCAAACCTCAGACAACAGAAAGTTTGCTAAAGAGGGACTTGCAAAATGGGGTAATAATAATATTATGGGATCCCAATCAGAACAACTTATTCCATCAGAGTAGAGTTCCCCAAGGGTCAGGCCCCAGCTAGTCTGTCCTTGGTCATGAGTTCTTGATAGAGACATGATGGGTTCCTGTGCTAAGATGTTTGGGAACAACTGCATCAGGATGTTTGCTCTGGCATGTTCAGCATGACTGCACAATACATATCCTATGTGGTGCTCAGGCCCCTGGGCCAGTCTAGATGACAGAGTTGTTTTTGTTCCTGCGGCCAAGGTTGCGGCTGCCTCTCTTGTTCCTCCTCCAGCACACGCAGCAGACAATGAGGCTGGTGATGATGGTGGTGCAGACCACCGCGATGATAATGATCTGCATGTTCCTGGACACACCCTCTCCGTTCCCCTGCCCACTGCTGGTGTCCTCCCCCTGCTCCTGGGTGGGCGTGGCCTCTGCAGCAGGGGAGGGGGTGCTCCTCTTGGGAGGGGGGGTGTGGGGCTTCCTCCTCTTTTCTGTCGGGGTGATATCAGGGACGGCGGTCGGAGTGAACAACGTCAGCTCCTCGTCAGTCAGTTGGGCTATGCTGTCACCGCTTAAGACAGAGGGCGTGAGGCACACCACAGTGCTGAGGTTAGCCTTGGTGGGGTTCCGTGTCAGCCAGTCCCGAAGTGGCACGATGTCCTGGTCACACTTCCAGGGGTTTTCAGCGAGCAGCACCTCCTTGGCCACTGTGAGGGTGCTGAGGAGCTCTGAGGGCAGGTTGGGGAGGGAGTTGTTGTGGAGGTCCAGCTGGCCAAGGTGGGAGTGGCCCTGGAGAAGCCTGGCAGGAAGGGAGCGGATGTAGTTGTGCTCCAGGGAGATGTTTACCAGCTTGGGCAGACCCTGGAAGGTGCCCTCCTGCAGGCTGGTGAGGAGGTTGGTGTGCAGGGACACTTCCCCCAGCTCTGCCAGTCCACTGAAGGCCCCGGGAGACACAGAGCTGATCTGGTTCCGGCTCAGTACCAGCAGACGCAGCTGGGTCAGGTTGCTGAAGGTGTGGTCCTCCAGGCGGGTCAGCCTGTTGTCATACAGCCACAGCTCCCTCACGGCCATGTGGCCGAACACTCCTGGGGACAGACTCTGGAGCTCGTTCTCATACAGGGAGATCTGGGCCAAGTTAGGGAGGTTGAGGAGAATCCCCTCTGGGAGGGAAGTTAGCCGGTTGTTGGAGAGATAAAGCTTCTGTAGGCTCTGCAGCTGGGAGAACAGGTTAGCGGGGAGATGAGTGATGGCGTTATCCTGCAGAGAGAGCTCCTCCAGGTTTACCAGGTCATCAAATGCTCCGGCAGGGATCGCCCTAAGAGCGTTCCGGTTCAGACGCAGGGATTTGATCTTGCTCAGGCCCCTGAAGGTGTCCCTGGAGAGTTGGTTGATGTTGTTCCTGGCCAGGGTGAGATGCTCCAGCTGAGTGACAGAGCGAAAGGCCTTTTCTGGTACAGACGTGATGAGGTTCTTGCTGAAGTCCAGGGTCCTCAGAGCAGCGAGGGAGTAAAGCCAGGCGGGGCGAAGCACCAGGAGCTTGTTGCCGCTCAGAGTCAGAGATTCCAGCTTCACCAAATTTAGAAACAGGGCCTCAGGCAGGTCATTCAGCTCGGTGCCTATGAAGCCCAGGGCACCCAGGTTATGGGTGAGGTCAAAGGTGCCAGGGAATACCTCTCTGATCCCAGTGTCTTTGAAAACGAAGATGCCAAGGGCCTCGGCAAAATCAGCCAAGTCATCAGGTTTGAGAGTGGTGATGTTGGTGTTGGAGATGTAGAAGGTGGTGGTGGAGCCAGGCACTGAGGAGGGAAACTCTGTGATTGACCTGCCTTGGCAGAGGATTTTGTAGTCTCTGCACTGGCATTCATCTGGGCACGCTCCAAGAACTCCACTGATGGCAAGGAGGAGGAGAAAGATGTGGAGGTTGATTGGCAGGTCCATTGATGGTCCTAGAAAATATGAAAAGAGTGGTTACCCACTGGGCACACACTGGTTGAATCAACGTGGTTTCCATTTCACTGAAATTACGTTAAACCAACCTGGAATAGATGTTGAATTGACGTCTATGCCCTGTGGGTAGCTTTATTTGATGCCATGCACACGCAAACATGTCAAGTTTATAAAACAGTATGAGCAACACTGAAGAAAAAATCCACATTAAAAAAAGACCTAATAAATTAAAGTAGAGTGAAGTCAAAAATATATTAGACAAATACGGCTGCATCATCAATTCTTGAAATTGTGTCTTGTTAAATTGGGATCATGTGGATATAACACGCATGGGAGGGTGCGAGCTAAATAGACCATTAAATGGGCTATATTTAGCATCTACCATTTTGTACTGGAATCAGGCCATCTGTTGACTTAATAGTACTTAATCGTTAAGTTAATGGCTTAATGGGACTGTTAATTTAATAGTAGCAAAAAGTAACAACTTTCTGTTCAAATGAGGGTAAACTGAAAATAGTATCATACATTCATAGTTTAAAATAAAAGGTGTGTGATGCACAAAAATGTGATGTTTTGGTTTTCATGTGATTTTTTTCTTTGATTGGATCCACAATGACTAGGCTATTATTTCTAAGAATTTTTCCATTCCCAGAAAAAGTTAGAAAGACTAAATTCCTAAAGTTAGAAAGACTAATGTCTCACCCAACATTCTTACCACATTATTCCTACACTTAGTACCATCTGAACAGACATACTAGTCCACCAGCCTAACACCAGCTTAAAGGTCTGGCATTTTTTACAATTTTTTTTTTGTCAGTTTAGCAGACACTCGTAGCTACTCACAGTAAATGCTTCAAGTAAGCTGAAGGAAGCAGAAATAACCAAGTATTATGAGGAAAAATGTCTTATATCATGTTACATGCTTGTTTTTGTTGTAGTTTTTGTTGTTGTACTTTTTACCCCTTTTTCACCTCAAATTGATAGTTACAGTCTTATCCCATCGCTGCAACTCCCATACAGACTCGGGAGAGGCGAAGGTCGAGAGCCATGCGTCCTCTGAAACACGACCCCGCTAAGCCACATTGCTTCTTGACACACTGCTCGCTTAACCCGGAAGCCAGCCGCACCAATGTGTCGGAGGAAACACCGTACAGCTGGCGACCGAAGTCAGAATGCATGCGCCCGGCCTGCCACAAGGAGTCGCTAGAGCGCAATGGGACCCTCCCCTAACCCGGATGACGCTGGGACAATTGTGCGCCCGCTCATGGGTCTCCCGGTCGCAGCCGGCTGCGACACAGCCTGGGATCGAACCCGGGCCTGTAGTGATGCCTCTAGCACTGCGATGCAGTGCCTTAGACCGCTGAGTCACTCGGGAGGCCCCTAACATGTTACACTCTTACAAAAAAGGTGCTATCTAGAACCAAAAATGCTTCTTCGGAGTCATCATATGGGGACCGCTGCAGAACCCTTTTGGAACGCTTTTTTCTACATTGCCTTCAGAAAGTATTCACACCCTGTCACGACTTCCTCCGAAGCTGTCTCCTCTACTTGTTCGGGCAGGCTTCGGCATTCGTCGTCACCGGCCTTCTAGCCACTGCCACTCCTCTTTTATCATTACATTTGTTTTGTCTTGTTTTTCACACACACCTGGTTCATATCCCCTCATCAGTCTCTGTATAAGTATTCCCTCTGCTCCTAATGTCTTTGTGTGTTATTGTTTCCATGTGGAGGTGTCGCTAGCTCGGTTGAGCATTATGTAGTTTTATGGTTCTCCAGGCCGTTCAGCGCTTGGAGAGGAGAGGACCCGACCTTGCGGAACCAGCTGAGGGACAGGATCCAGCCACCCACATACCAGCACCCAGTGGTATTCACCTGTCTCGACCGAGGGAATACGATGGGACAGCTGCCTGCTGCCAGGGTTTCCTCCCTCGTCTCCTTTCAACACCATCAGCCCTGCTTCATCGGATCGGGAGAAGGTGTCCGCCCTCGTCTCTTGCCTCTCGGGGAAATCCCTAGAGTGGGCCAACGCAGTCTGGAGAGAAGGAGGAGACGCGTTGGACAACTACAGAGAGTTCGCTCGCCTCTTCCGGGCAGTCTTTGATCATCCCCCCGAAGGAAGAGAGGCGGGCGAGCGTCTGTTCCATCTGATGCAGGGGACGCAAGACTTTGCCCTGGAGTTTAGAACTCTAGTGGCTGGGTCTGGGTGGAACGAACGGTGCCTCATCGACCAATTCCAATGTAGCCTGCATGAGAACATCCGAAGGGAGCTAGCCTGCCGGGATACCACTCTGACCTTCGACCAACTGGTGGACATGGCCATCCGGTTGGACAACCTGGAAGGGGCCTGCCCGTTTCACCCCCCCTCACCCCGGCTCACGTTCCGATGGAGCTGGGTGGTGCAGCGTTCAAGAATAACTTTATGGACAGGTCTTTAGCTCTTAGTCTACGTATTACATTGGTTCCCCTGTCTATTCCATTGCCCATCAAAGCACTTGACAATCGATCATTAGGGTCAGGTTTTGTTAGTGAGGTTACAGCACCAGTCACTTTGATTACGCAGGAGACCCTTAAGGAGCAAATCACGTTTCATATTATTGAGGTGCTGGGCCTTCCCTGGCTAACACTACATGACCCCACCTTTTCATGGCCACAGAGGGCTCTCCCGGGGTGGTCGTGAGAGTTTCAGGGTAGGTGTCTAGCTGTTTCCGTTGGCGTGACCACGGTGGAAAGTCCAGACAATGCCTCCACAGTGCGTATTCCCCCCGAATACCTCGATTTGGCGCACGCTTTTTCCAAAAAGCATGTGACCAAATTACCACCCCATCGGGCGGGGGATTGCGCGATAAACCTCCGGTTAGATGCTGTGCCTCGCAGGAGTCATATATATCCCCTGTCGCAGGCTGAAATGGAGGCTATGGAGACATACGTCTCTGAGTCCCTGTGTCAGGGGTTCAAACGTCCCACTTCACCCGCTTCCTCAAGTTTCTTTTTCGTGAAGAAGAAAGACGGGGGTCTGCGCCCTTGCATTGATTACCGTGCACTTAATCAAACTACCATTTGCTATAGTTACCCTCTACCTCTCATTTCCTCTGTGATCGAATCAATGCATGGGGCGCGCTTCTTCACAAAATTTGATCTCAGGAGTGCGTACAACCTGGTGTGTGTCTGGCAAGGGGATGAATGGAAGACAGCATTTAGCACAACCACGGGGCATTATGAATACCTGGTGATGCCGTACGGGTTGATGAATGCTCCATCAGTCTTCCAGTCCTTTGTGAATGAGGTGTTTCGGGACATTCTTGGTCGCGGTGTGGTGGTCTACATTGATGACATCCTGGTGTATTTCGCTACGCGCGCTCAGCATGTGTTCCCTGGTTCGCAGAGTGCTTGGACGACTGTTGGAGCATGACCTGTATGCCTAGGCAGAAAAAGTCTGTTCTTCCAACAATCCGTCTCCTTCCTCGGATACCACATCACCACCTCAGGTGCGTAATTGGCCGACTCCAACCACGGTAAAGGAGGTGCAGCGCTTCATTGGCTTTGCCAATTACTATCGGAGGTTTATCTGGGGCTTTGGCAAGGTCACAGCCCCCATCACCTCTCTGTTGAAGGGTGGGCCGTCCCAGCTCCGCTGGTCTGCTGAGGCTGACAGGGCTTTCAGTAACCTGAGGGCTCTGTTCACCTCAGCCCCGGTACTGGCCCATCCCGATCCATCATTGCCGTTCATAGTGGAGGTGGACGCGTCCAAGGTAGGGGTAGGCGCTGTCCTTTCCCAACGCTTGGGTATGCCACCCAAGCTCCGCCCCTGTGCCTTCTTCTCTAAGAAGCTCAGCCCGGCAGAGCAGAACTATGACGTTGGTGATCGGGAGCTGTTGGCTGTTGTCGGAGCCCTGACAGCGTGGAGGCACTGGCTCGAGGGGGCTAAACACCCTTTCCTCGTCTGGACTGACCACCGTAACCTGGAGTACATGCGGGCAGCGAGGATGCTGAACCCTCGCCAGGCCAGGTGGGCCTTGTTCACCCGGTTTGATTTCACACTGTCCTATATACCAGGCACTAAGAACGTGAAGGCAGACGCACTGTCACGGCTGTACAACACAGAGGAGAGGCCCATTGACAACAACCCCATACTCCCGGCCTCCTGCATTGTGGCGCTGATGGTGTGGGCGGTGGACGCGGACATAGAGCGGGCGTTACGCACAGAGCCATCTCCACCTCAGTGCACAGCTGGGCATCGGTACGTGCCGTCTAGTGTCCGTGATTGTCTTGTCTATTGGGCACACACGTCCCCCTCCTCTGGTCACCCAGGCATCGGCCGTACAGTGCGCTGCCTGACCGGGAAGTACTGGTGGACCTACCTTGGCTAAGGACGAGGGTGTATGTCTCCTCCTGCTCGGTGTGCGCTCAGAGTAAGGCAACTAGGCACCTTCCAGTGTGGTCCTCTGAAGCTCAGCTGGTAGAGCACGGCGCTTGTAACGCCATGGTAGTGGGTTCGATACCCGGGACCACCCATACACAAAAATGTATGCACGCATGACTGTAAGTCGCTTTGGATAAAAGCGTCTGCTAAATGGCATATTATTATTATATATTATATTATTATATTATATAAGTTACATCCCTTACCAGTTCCACAACGGCCATGGTCCCACTTATCGATCAATTTCTAACTGATCTTCCCCTCTCCCAGGGTAACACCACCATCCTGGTCATTGGGGACCGCTTCTCTAAAGCCTGCCGCCTCCTTCCTCTGCCCAGTCTCCCCACGGCCCTGCAAACTGCGGAAGCCCTGTTTACTCACGTCTTCCGGCACTACGGGGTGCCAGAGGACATAGTGTCTGACCGGGGTCCCCAGTTTACGTCTAGGGTCTGGAAGGCGTTTATGGAACGTCTGGGGGTCTTGGTCAGCCTAACCTCTGGGTTTCACCCCAAATCTAATGGGTAGGTGGAACGGGTGAATCAGGATGTGGGTAGGTTCCTGCGGTCCTACTGCCTGGAACGGCCGGGGGAGTGGTCGGTGTTCTTGCCATGGGCTGAATATGCCCACAACTCTCTCCGCCACTCCTCCACTCTCCTGTCACCATTTCAATGTGTTTTAGGGTATCAGCCGGTCCTGGCACCGTGGCATCCGAGCCAGACCAAAGCTTCTGCGGTGGACGACTGGTTTCGCCGCGCGGAGGAGACGTGGAACACCGCCCACGTCCACCTCCAGCGCGCTGTGCGTCGCCAGAAGGCCAATGCTGACCGCCACCGCAGTGAGGCTCCGGTCTTTGTACCGGGTGATCGAGTCTGGCTCTCGACCCGGAACCTGCCCCTCCACCTGCCCTGCCGGAAGCTGAGCCCGCGGTTTGTGGGGCCGTTCAAAGTACTGAGAGTGAACGAGGTCACGTATAGGTTGCTGCTCCCTCCTGATTACCGTATTAACCCCTTGTTTCATGTGTCTCTCCTCAGGCCGGTGGTGGCTGGTCCGCTCCAGGAGTCTGAGGTGCGGGAGGTCCCAGTGTACTCCGTCCGTTCCATCCTGGATTAGAGGCATCAGGTGGTGGGCCTTCAGTACCTTGTGGAGTGGGAGGGGTACGGTCCGGAAGAGCGGTGCTGGGTCCCAGTAAAGAATGTCCTCGATCCCTCCCTGTTGCGGGATTTCCACCGTCGCCATCCGGCTCGCCCTGCTCTGCGTCCTCCTGGCCGCCCCCGAGGCAGGGGGTACTGTCACGACTTTCTCCGAAGCTGCCTCCTCTCCT